AATAACTGTATAATTCTATGAGGTTATCTACTATTAACTACTAGTTCAGGATGGGAATACTTTAGTCGATAATTTCATAAATCTATGAGTTTATCCACTGTTAACTTCTAGTTCAGAATAGGAATAATTCAGTCGATAACTGTATAATTCTATGAGGTTATCCACTGTTAACTACTAGTTCAGAATGGGAATAATTTAGTCGATAACTGCATAAATCTATGAGGTTATCCACTGTTAACTTCTAGTTCAGAATAGGAATAATTTAGACGATAACTGTATACTTCTATGAGGTTATTCACCGATAACTACTAGTTCACAATAGGAATAATTTAGAAGGCAGCTGTAATAGTTTATGAAGTGATATGTTAACTACCAGTTCACAATGGGAATTATTTAGTGGATAACTGTATAATTCTTTAAGGTTATCCACTGTTAACTACTAGTTCACAATGGGAACAATTTAGTCAATGAGGTTATCCATTATTAACTACTAGTTCACAATGGGAACAATTTAGTCAACAGCTGAATAATTCTATGAGGTTATCCACTCTTAACTATTAGTTCACAATGGGAACAATTTAGTCAACAGCTGAATAATTCTATGAGGTTATCCACTCTTAACTACTAGTTCACAATGGGAATAGTTTAGTCGATAACTGTATATTTTTATGAGGTTATCCAATGTTTACTACTAGTTCATAATGGGAATAATTTAGTCGATAACTGTATAATTATTTTAGGTTATCCACTGTTAACTACGACTTCACAGTGGGAGTCTATGAGGTTATCCACTGTTAACTACTAGTTCACAATAGGAATAATTTAGTCGGCAGCTGTATAATTCTATGATGTTATCCACTGTTAACTACTAGTTCACAATGGGAATACAATTTAGTCGATAACTGTATGATTCTTAGTTTATCCACTGTTAACTACTAGTTCACAATGGAAATAATTTAGTCGATAACTTATAATTCTTTTAGATTATCCACTTTTATGTGCTAGATCACAATTGGAGTAATTTAGTCGACAGCTGTATAATTCTGTGAGGTTATCCACTGTTAACTACTAGTTCACAATGGGAATA